AAGTAAAAGCCCCTTTTGTGAGCCCTCGCTCAAGCTTTTCCACACATCAGTCTTTTTTTGTGGAAAGTAACACCTTGATTTTATTATTTTTAATTCTCATGAATATTTTTTAACATATGTATATATGTGTATACACAGTTTTATACAGTTAAATCATATGATTGTTTTCATTTATTTTCCTGGCTATTTAATACCGTTTTTATAATACCCATGTTGAGATGTGTGGCCTTGTTTTCTTATTTTATCTGTTAGTATTTGTAACAGCATATTGAATTAACACTTATAAGCTTGTCCCCTCTATAGACATTTATGGTTTTTTTTATTATTTAACGTGATAAACAACAATTCAATTAGTATTTTGCACCTTTTACCTCCAATTGCTTTCTAAAACCCAATTTAAAAAACAGTAAAAGAATACATGTATGGAGGTTGCCCAGAGGTTCAATTGAACTGTCTAAATTTAGTGTTAGAATAATGCATGAACACATGGCCCAAAGCACAATCTATTAACTTTATAGACATTCCAGGAAGCATGGTGAAAACTGAGAGCAAACCCATGTTTCTCAATGAACATGAATTCAGTTGATATAACTGAACCTCACAAATTAATAAAGTAATCATTATTAGTGATAACCCTTTCTGAAATCAGAACTGGTTTTATGTCCTGCATGGATTTTTATTGGGTTGAAAAAATTGGTACCAATGAACGTATTGGGTTGAAAAAAACTTGCTGTATTTTTGTAATTGTCATTCTAGAGATATAATTGAAGGCATGGAGTAGTGGAGGGAAGGGCACTTTTTAAGGCTCAGGTTTGGTCTCCAGCGTATAAAGGAGAAAGAAGTAGGAAGAGAGAGACCGAGATACACAGAAAGAGACTGTCGGGGGGGGGGGGGGGGAGGACAAAAGGGGAGGGAGGAGAATGAGAAGAGAAAAGCCTTCTTTCTGATGTGTGCTATGTTTTAACAAACGATCATTTTGAGATGGGAATGGCTGAAGGATAGCTATTTGCTTCACATTTAGAGGTCTGATAGAATGTTCTCCGATGGCTCTCCTTTTTCTAACCCTCTCTCTTGCCCCTCCCACTTATTCTATGCTCCCCACTCCCTCTCAACTTCAAGACCTTTTTTGAACACTCCACCCCCCAACACACACACACACACACACACACACACACACACACACTACTGAGTCAGTTGGTATGGCCTCTAAGTACATGAGTTTAAGAGCTGACTCTGTGAGGAGGTCATTTCCCAGAGGAAAGAAAAAAAAAAGCCCCAAACTGATTGTTCCTCTCTCAGTGGCCATTGGTTGCCTGTAGCTCTTCATCTCTGGCAGCGCTGGGTAAGTTTCCCCCACCAATGTTGCCATGTCAGTTGGGGTGGGCATGATGCTCGTCTTGTTTAGGTTACCATATTTTTAAGATTTCATGTGTTCCCCGGGTGGCCTTCAGGCTTCCATCTTCCACAACCTCTTTTCTAATGCTCAGAACCCAAACCCCTATGTCAACACTGAAAAAGAATTACTTTAGTAAAGATAACCTGAACACGTTGGTCTGTTGTAAAAACGACAGAGCTGTTTGTGAAACCCCAACTAACCAACCGTGCAAGCACAATAGGACGAGGGGAATTCCGAAGCAGGAGCTCACACTAGTCTGTAAGCTTTCTGAACTCCGTGGTAGGCAGTGTTAGTTTGCTGTCAGAAAATGACTCACGGAACACACCTACCAAGAGAACACCTTTGCATTGGCCATCCCAGGCCTTGACTGCTAAAGCAAGGCAGACCGTCATGACAGGAATTCATGGCAGCGAAAAATCATGTTCTGGCCAGGAAGCAAAGAAAGGAAGAAGAAAAGGCTGGAGTCGTGAAGCCCCAGTGAGAGCCCAACCTGAGCCCCCTAGCACTTTCACCTGCCCACAAGGTTTCATTCTTCTAGGCAGCCATGCATTTACTATGCAGTTTGGAAAGACAACCAACACCCCAGTTGACCAAGCATCTTGTCATCCTGATTCTCTGTTTTCATATTGTATGATTTTGCTGGATAGCAATTGGAATTTTCTAAATGGGTGAAACACATATATAATGCAGCATACACAGTAGGATTAAAAGTTATTTCACACAAATTTTATTACAAAGAAGACGTGTGTGTGTATGATATGTAACTTCCATGGGATGGTACATTAATTATTAATGCAAATATATTTAATAATTAAAGACTATAATGTAAGAAATAAAATTTAGTGGTTTAATATACATATAATGAAACAGTCACCATGGTCACACTATTTAATATATCTATTGCTTCAAATAGTCACCACTTTCTTTGTGTGTGAGGAGCTATGAAATATATACCAAAGTACACATTAATTAACTGTGAACATTCTACATCACAGTTCCAGACTTCGTTTATCTTACCTTAGACTAAATGTATCGTTTTACAATGGTTCCAAAGTGGTTGGCATATACTTGAGTGAACTGGCTTCACAAGAATTGTTGTGACCTTGAAGATGTGAGTGACCAGTGGTCTTCGTTTTCTGGCTAGAACCCAGATGCTACATATGCACCAAACACTGAGCTCAGGACCCTGCAGTGCTGTAGTATGTTGCCCACCGCACACCAGCTTTCATAGACCGGTCCCCATCCCTTTTCTCTATTTGTCCCTTGGCCTCAAATGCTCCTAAGGACCCAGAATGTTTCTCGTAGGACCCTCTGCACCAGCCTGTCCTCGTAGTCTTGTCCACTCTTCCCATCAGTCCTGGCACCTTCGTTGGTGTGTTATACCCTCAGTACACTTTCTTACACCTAATATGGGCTTGGCCATTGTTTTTCTTATTAGATTACGGAGAGTTTAATCTAATAATACATCTTTGTATCACAGGCTTCAGATTCTTTCTCTCCTGTTTGTATTCTGTTCTCTCTTAATCTTATAGGAACTTTATTGTCTTACAATAACACATATTTATTTTAAATGATTAAAAAGCAGTTGAAAAATACATATCTTAAAATGATCAGTTAACTTCTGCATAAGTGTTTCTTTCTAATTGGTCAGTCTGAACACAGGTGTCTGACTGATAGTGGCCCACCTGGCAATATGATGTTACCTGGTTTGTTGTTGTTGTTGCTATTGGTTTGTTTGTTTGTTTTCTGTCAACATGTTACATGTCGTTTGAGAAGAGAAACTCCCAATTGAGTAAACATGTCTAAAAGTTCATCCATTTTCTTAATGATTCATGTAGGTAGGCTCAGCTCACTGGGATGGTGAGCCACCCTGAGAAGGTCTACTAGACGGTGTAAGAAAGAAGGCTGAGCAAGCCATAGGAATAAGCCCATGAGCAGTATTCCTCCAGAGTCTGTGCTTTAGTTCATGCCTCCAGCTTCCTATTTTGAGTTCCTGCCCTGACTTCCTTCTGTGGTAGACCATAATGTAGAAGTTTTAGCAAAGCAAACTCTTCCCTATGTTGCTTTTAGTAATTGTGTTTTATCCCAGCAATAGTAGCCCCAGCTAAGAGAGGGTTTGGGGGGGGTCAAACTTTTTCTTTGAGAATCAGCTTTAGTTCCGTGATGATGAAAATTTCACTTTTGAAACTTAGGAAATTAGTAAAATCATGTGTATACTTCACATAGATGTTTTACATCTTTTTTCTGTAACATAGGATATATAATGGAAGAATACTCATTTTATTGTGCTCTTCTGATTCCTGAGATGAAATATGACCATTTTAGTGTGTGTGTGTGTGTGTGTGTGTCTGTGTCTGTGTGTGTGTGTATGTTTGCAACCATTTGTGGTTGTGGGTGTTTATAAATGGCCTGCATAGTTTTCTGAGAAAGTTCCTCTACTCTCTGGAAACTGTGCCAGGGACCTCTCCCATATGTCATTTGGCTAATGAAGCATCTGGTAAAAACTTAGAAATTACAAACTCTTATCACTACTAAAGCTAATCTGGGTAAGTTTTATGATTAGGATTGGGAATATCTGCTCAGTGTCTTCCATGTATGTAACTGAATAAACTAGACTTGGACCTTCGGTCTTACTCACTTCCTGTGTTTTAGGCTTAGTCTAAAAGAATTCCTCATTCCTCAGTTTGTGAGCTACCTAGTACCTTTTTCTACTGTGGGTTAGAGATCCAACACTGTTTCTAAGGAGCATTTTTGTCCCCTTCATTGGCTCACATCTCATGATGTGTTGGGAACATTTGCTTCATAATTGCCCATTGCCTTCGGCTTTAGTGTACAATGAAGGCTATTTGATACCCGGGCTTTAGTTACTAACATGCATCCTTCAGAGAAGCAGCTTGTCCCTGGTCCTGCTCTAGCTCTCTCTGCTATTAAACATCGCCTTTGCTGTCCCCTTCCCTGTCACCTGTGCTACTTGACAACAGGGCTCTTCCTTTTTCTGTTAAAAACGTTTGGTAATACCCGGATAAAGTTTTCACTGTCAAATTGGAAAGAGGGCTTGTAGTGTCTGAATAGAATGGTTCACAGAAGCATTTGGAAATTCTATATTAGTTAGTAGTTCCTTCCCAAATAAAAAAGAATCTTACCTGATCCAAAATGGCAATAGCATTAAGATGGGGGAAACTTCTTGTTCAGAAGCTGATTTTGTGTTTACAAATCAAAGTTTCAGATTTCTCTCACACATGATGTCTAACTTAACGTATAGCCTTGATTCAGGCTAGTTGCTTAGTGGCCAAAGGAGATGGTATCTCAAGATAGCTCCAACTTAAGTGGCAGGAAAGAAAAACACTCATGAAAAGCATTTTCCTTGTTGTTTCTCGGGCAGTTTGATGTTACCATAGCTGCAGAGAATAGGAAGAGAGTAAACTGAAGCACATATTCAGTCAGATAAAGGACAAAACAGAAGGGATTAATATCATTTCCCTTTTGTACTCTTTCCTCCAAAGGACATTTCTTGTTTTGAAAGTCGCGTTTGCAGAGATGTTGCAAGAAAACTCCATGCTGACCCTGATTCATGGTTTTCTCCTTTATTTTTTTTCTCCTTTAGATATTTCACATTTTCAAGAACAAAATGATTTAAAAGGATTGTTGGACAATCTCCATCAAAATATTCAAGCCAAGAAAAGAAAGAATGTGGAGATCATGTGGCTAGCAGCAACAGTAAGCACGCGCGCCCATCTTTTCCCTGCACACCATGAGCAAGCCTTGTCAGGGACGTGGTACAGGGTCTAAGTCTGTACTTTGGTTCCTAGGTTTCATCTTCCATTATCCAGTTAACAAGGCATCATTGCTTTGCTGATCATCTTTCCAGTAGCGATGGAGAAAGATGAACTCAACATGGAACCCACTCCTTACCAACTTTGGGCTTTCTTGTCACTCTGAGGCCAAAAAGAAGTATCTGTGATTCTCTTGGTATTACATGCTATGGATAATTGTCAGTGTTATATGACAATCTGAATTTTGAACTACCACTATAAGAGATATGTGATTCCAACTGTGGGGTTGCCAGATCCCTGACTTGAGACTCACGGGAATATTGTTCAGTTAATGAGCTCGTAAATGTGTTTGTTAGTTTAGGTATTGGCACAGAATTTTTTTTAAAATAACTATTTATTTATTATGTATACAATATTCTGTGTGTATGCCTGAAGGCCAGAAGAGGGCACCAGACCTCTTTACAGATGGTTGTGAGCCATCATGTGGTTGCCGGGAATTGAACTCAGGACCTTTGGAAGAGCAGGCAATGCTCTTAACCGCTGAGCCATCTCTCCAGCCCTTGGCACAGAATTTATTGATGATTGATTGCCACGAGGTAATGATCTGACTGTGCTTGGTTCTCTATTGCTTAATGGCACCCTCAGAGTGTGAGACCTGCCTGTTTTCCTGCCTCAGTTTCTACATGAATTAGCGAGAGACTCGTGTTTGTGTTTAAAAGCTCTTTTCCAGCAACTTGAACCAGAGTTCATATTAAATTTATGAATTTTGTTAAACTCTCAGATCTCAGGACCTTCCTTTGGGAAAGCATCCTTGCACCAGGAAAGGTGCTCTGGAGACCTCTGAGATGAGTCTGTGTCTGGAGCCTTGGCTGTCACTCCTACAACACAGAGTTCAGGTTCATTAGCCCTGCAGCACACGTTATTCATGTGCCATCAAAAGCATTTAAATCAGCCTTCCTACTATTACCAATGTTATTAGTCACTGCTGGGCAAAAGGGAAGGGATAATTTACCATGTGACCAAATAAAATAATCAACCAAGAAGAAGACAGAGGCAAGCTCCTGCTATGCTTACCTGGTGTGCTTGGGAAGAACATCAGAGGCAACCAAAGCAGGAAACACTACTTTCAGACAGGCCACCGACACTGCTCACTCTCAGCACCACACCAGTTACAGAGTTCTGTGTGTCTTTAGACACCACCATGGTTAGCAACTCCCAAAGGTTCACTAGGTAAAGCCTCACGTTATTTTGAATATTTTTCTGAAAGCATAGCATCCAGGAATTCTGATCATATGGAAGACCCTCCAGTATCTGGGGACTATATATTTATGGCATTACCTTATTGTATACATGAGGTAAAATCACCTGAAAATATAAAGCAATGATGCTTTTATGAAAACATGAATGCCTATCTCCTCTTGGTAACTTCTTTTACCTATATGAATATGTAAGTTCTTCCCACCAATCCTGCTTACTTCTAAAATGTTTTTCTGGTGTTTATACCAATCACATAAGGTTCTTATACAACTCACGGTTGATTGTGTATTCCCTAGCATTGCTGTAAGTTGAAAACTCACTTTCAATATCAGCTTCCAAACCAGAACAACTTAATAACACTCTTAAAATGGAGAAGTCGGGAATCCTCCTTGACATTACCAAAACACTTTTATTTCTGTTTTCTGTTTCCTCTCTTTCTGTCTCCCTAATGAAATACTGCCTTTGTCAGTGCTTCACAGTCTAATTAACAGTTATTTTATTTTTCTTTATTTAATTAAATAATAAAAGGAAAAAATTAAGAAACCAAATGCTGAGTATGTACAAGCAAACTTGGATCATTCAGAAGCCGTAGAGACTGAGATCAAGACTTTTCTTGCCTACTGTGGAGACACAGCCCACCTCCACTTGGCTTTAAATGCAGGGCATTAATATCTCAAGCAGGAGAGGTATATGCTAAAGTAGCGATATATTTTAAAGAATATTACTTCTTTTAAAAACTATATCTCAAACGCATCCATTAAGGTCTATTTTGTGACTATGAATATAGTCACCATTTGAAAAGGTGAAATACTACTTATTTGGATGAATTAAAATTTTCTAAGTAAAAAGAGATCGCATGGTAAAACCATACTCTCTTTTTTCTGTAGCTACTTTTATTGGAAATAGAAGGGAGTAAAAGTCTGAATTAATAGGGACATATAAATCTTAATTTAAGTACGAAATGACAATTAAAATACAGTGAAAAAATTCCTCAATAAAAACTGTTTTACTGTTTCTTCCCCAGGCGGGCACTCTGAAGGCCTCGTTGATCACAGATAATAAAGTGGGTGGTTTGTGAGTCGCATTCAATTTATCTTAAATGAACATTGATTGGCATTGCTGATGCTGCCGTTCATTATTGGTAGCTCATCTTAGAAAGCAGCGTGGGCTAGCAGCAAAGGGGGCAGAGGGGTCCATAAGACAATGAGAAAATGGGAGCTCCTAGGTCAGAGACTTGTCTGTCTTATAATGCAAGTCACTGAGGAACACCAGACGCACGGACGGAACTAAAAACTCAGTGTTTGGACTTAGGAAGACTTGCATTCCCAGCCTGTTCCTGCTCTGCTGTGCACAAGTTACACAGGTTCCAGATGCTTCCGTTTTCCCCACTGTGAAGTGAGGGTAGTCATGGCTTCCACTGGGGTTCATGCTCAGTTCGTTACAAAAGCGTATCGATCAGTCATTTATAACCCCATGCTGTGTCACAGTCTGTGTGAAGTAATGGTAGCCAATTTAGTGTGCCCGACATTACCACGTGGTCCCTTTATCTATAGAGATATTTTGAAACATAAGTTCAAGTCCAGCAAATACTTTTTATTTTCAATTAGGGGCTGGAGAGATGCCTCAGTGGTTAAGAGCATTGCCTGCTCTTCCAAAGGTCCTGAGTTCAATTCCCAGCAACTACATGGTGGCTCACAACCATCTGTAATAAGGTCTGGTGCCCTCAAGCATACACACAGATAGAATACTGTATATATAATAAATAAATAAATTAAAAAAAAAGAACACTGGGTGACCAGGCAGTGATGGTGCATGCCTTTAAAAAAAATAGGCAAGTTTAATATTTTTTACTATTTGAGAATTTTATACCTGCGTACAATGTGTTTTGATCAAATCTACCCCCTAATCACTTTCCTCTAATTCCTCCTCACTACCCAGTGTTACGTGCTGTTTCTGAACCCACTGCTTTGCTCAGTGAATGCATGCAGAGCCATCTAGAATGCAAGCAGCCTCGCACTTAAGGAACTATGACGTAAACTGTCCTCCCTCCCCCAACGGTCATCAATGTCAATAGTTCCTCTGCTAGGGCTGGGCCTTCATGAGATCCTCACATGTCAACGATAAGATTTTCACTGCTTGATCTCAAAAAAGTAGACTTTAGGCAAACATTCAACTGTCTAATCTAAGAACAACACAGCTTGCGTCATTTTCAGCCAAGCTATTGCTTCTGAGCTGTGGGTGGCATTTATGCAAATCAGGTGGCCTCCATGCCTCCTCTGTAGGGTCTGTGGTGTTGACAGCTCAGACCTCCCGCTCAAAGAAATCAACAAGTTAAAGCCAGTCTTCTACCTCAGAAAATGAAAAGGCAGTGTGCGTGATTGTACAGGGTAGACGTAGACGGAAGCACTCGAGTCCTCGTTTCCCTTTGTCTTGCAGATTTGTCGCAAACTCAACGGCATCCGCTTCACCTGCTGTAAAAGCGCCAAAGACAGGACCTCGATGTCAGTGACGCTGGAGCAGTGCTCCATCCTGAGGGACGAGCACCAGCTGCACAAAGACTTCTTCATCCGGGCCCTGGACTGTATGAGAAGGTACCGCACGTGTCTTAAAACTGCTTTCATGTCAAGGTCACATTGGTTAAGTTTTAAGACACATACCTCCTTAGAAGACCAAACACTTAAGGATTCCTTTGTATTTCCATATTTAAATTTCAAGCATTCCCTTTACTCATTTTGGGTAATATAAGGAAATACAAGTATGCATAATTTTTCATCTTGAGTTAAATGGCTGTGTGCTGCTAAGGCGCCCTTAAGAGTACATTTTCTTGACATGTTTGAGTATGTACAAATTAACGACAGGTCAATAGACAAAATCTCTCCAGACTGAAACTGAGAGATAGTCTCCCCATTGCTGGCGCAGTCTGCACTGGTGGCCTTCCCCATGAGGAAGGCAGAGTTACTCTGATACTGCAGAGATCTGGAATTGCCACTCTGCTGACATTTAAAATACTGTGCCCCAAGTCATATCTGATTAATTCCCACAGTAATTAAATCTGAACTTGAAAGAAGCCATAATGGAAAGGAGCCTCATTCCAAATGTTTATCAGCAAGGACATGTGTTAATATAACAGTGACAGAGATCAGCCTAGAAGAGGTTTGTGGGCTCCACAGAGGGCTGCTTCCTGCTACTTCCTGTCTGTCTTACCATTAGCTCTGCTTTCTTTTCGGTTCTGGGTCTCCCAATGGAGCCACAGATGCACGCTTGCATTGCTGCAACGCCTGCATTTTCCACTAACAAGAGGCTTCTGACATCTTCTGTTTTACACCTTGTCTTGTCTCCTGCATTTTCATTGTTCAGTAAAGTTCTGTCATCAAGTTTGAGAACCATTTGAGGATGGTTTCGGAGCCTGACATGAACATCTCAGCCATATAAAATTTATTTTATTGCTATAAATTTCTTTCAAAAATAATCTTTCAGTTTTAGTGGGGAAAATACTGCCTGTGACGCTAGACTCTAACTGCAGAAAAGGAGCAGAGATGTCAGTACAGATGCCCAGCTAGGAGGAGCACAGCAAATAGACCAGGGCCACCACAGGACCAGCGTCACTTAACTATCAGATATCTGGAGGGTGAAACTGGCATTTATTTGTTTAAGACTGGAAGGAAGAATCTCTAAATTAGAAAGAAAAATTTTCAAAGAGGCAAATGAAAGGCATATGTTTCTATGCATGCTGAATCCTAGGCATGCATGTTTTTATATTATATAGGTTTGCACACAATTGGTGTTATATATGACTTATTTGCTCATGATGTGACATTTATGGGACTTTGTGATTTAGAATTTTTTCTTATTTTTTTAAAATTCAGCTGCTAGAGAGTTATCCTAAAATCAATTATGTCTTTTAAATTTCATGTCTCTATTATTCTGATACTTTTCTGTTAATTTTTTGATGCTAACTTTCAAATCAGTCAAATCTATCCCTTAGCTTATATATAAAGGCAGTTATTTTAGAGCATGAGGGTTTCTTTGGAAATGAGTGTAGGTGAGCACATAGTTCAAATACCAAGGCATGTTGATTAAAGAAAACATGTAACTGCCTCTGTTTCCCTCTTTGGAATTTGGCTTTGTGAGACAAGCTCATAGGGACATATACTCTTTCAGTACAGTAAAGGGGTCAGAGGGCAGCACAGGAGGTCAGAGGGCAGCACTGGAGGTCAGAGGATGGCATGGGAGGTCAGAGGATGGCAAGGACGGTCATAGGACAGTGCAGGAGGTCAGAGGACAGCGCGGGAGGTCAGAGGACAGAATGGGAGGTCAGAGAATGGCAAGGGAGGTAATAGGACAGCACAGGAGGTCAGAGGACAGCACGGGAAGTCAGATGATGGCACCGGAGGTCAGAGGACAGTGTGGAAGGTCAGAGGGCAGGGTGTAGAGTCAGTTGGACTAAGTTACGATTCAGGTTTCATCACACACTACCCAGAAACAAGTTAATCTCAATGCTTCTCTGTGCCTCAGGGAAGTTAGGCAGCCTCTTGGTATTTCACTGTCCTCATCTGGGAAACAGCCACGGTAACAGTAACCACTTCTTCAGAGTGCCTTTGAAAATGCAGAGTGATTAAAATAGTGATTAACAGCATAGGCTATACTTATTAAATAAAAAGCTTATGAAGTTGCTGTTCTGATATTTCAGTTTAAGTAAAATCTAAGTATAACCTTTGTAGTTTTATGTTTGGAAATGTTGGGATTTAAATTTAACTCCAGTACCACATATTAAGTCACGTGTTTTACACATTCAGAACAATGAGTCATTAAAAAGGTGTGTGTGTTTACAGATGCTAACTATGGAAGTAAAACATGTATCAAAAGAAGAATTGAACATTGCTGGTGCTTAAAAATCTACTACAGTGTGTCCTTACAAAGAGTCATGATCTTTGGTCTCATGCAGTCATCTTAAAAATTTCTAACAGACAATAAACCGGATGCACAGAGTGTTGGCCATTGAGCACTCAGGATGCATTAGGACAGCCAGGGATAGGTCTCTAATCACATTCATGTTTGCACTGGTATCCCCTGAAATTAATTGATTATGTGTTAACCATTCAACTTCATTAGTTAAAATAGAAATCATGCAAAAATTCCTGTTCTTTTAGAACTTCAAGGTTATGTACAAAACGAGAGTGCTTTGTTCCCATTGGCCTATAAAGAGTCCAATGTAATGGCAGAGTCATTTCAACATCTTCTGTCATGTCCATCAGTGTATGCAGACGGCAGTGTCTCGCCCAGTATAAAATACTATAATACGCAGAGGTTACAGAATATCAAAGACCCAACAGAGGACACCTGTTCTTCCCACACAGACAGCAGTGTCTCAGGAATAAGAATGTCTCACACTGTTGGTTGATTTTAATTAACACCAGAACCTTGAAATGGTCATTTTTGGCCATTGAAATAGGTTATCATTCATGGCAATAAAACCTTTTCCAACCTCTTTGCTCCATGGTCTGTGAAGTCCCACCCTCCAGACATTGACCTTGAATGATATCAGACACCTTCAGGAAGTTATACAATTCCTTACCTTTAGGTCTATAGCTTATCACTGAGCGATCTTAGGTAGGTGTGGAGATCAAAACTATTTAAGAACTTGAACAATATTCTAGAATACCACACTGGATTTAATAATACCTTAAGGTTTTAGTTAACTTGCTTGTGTGTGTGTGAGTGTGTGTGTGTGTGTACATGCGAAAGTGTGCACAAGTGTCTTGGTATATTTGTGGAGGTCAAAGGGAAACTTAAGAGTAGTATCTCTCCTTCTACCGTGTAAGTACTCAAGATCAAACCCTGGTCTTAGGCTTAGCAGAAGCACCATTACCCCCTGAGCCTCCCAGTGTTTTAAATTTTATTGTTTGCTTGGTTTTTGCTATATNTATATTATTTTTTTTGCACTTGTAATTTTAATTTATCAACAGTTGAGTCTTATTTATCTTTGGATCATCCCAGCCACTTTTCAGGCATTTTCAAGTTTGTCAAAGCCATCCCAGGTTATTCTCTGTGACCTGCAGCTCCCAGTCAGTCACACAGCTGCAAGGGGGAGAATGCAATGCCACGTGGTGCTGCGTCACAGCAGGCCAGGGGCATTAACCACTCTATGGCTTATTGCATTGTCAGCTCATAGTGGTATTCCTGGGACTCGATTGTATTGTTAGTTCATAGTGATTCCTGGGACTTGATTCTGTCGCACGCTGAGCTTGGTCTGCATTACTCTCAGTAGTATGTCATGACATGATGATGTGTTTGATTGATGTGGGAGATTTTCAGATCACCTCTTCATGTGAGAAAGCTAGCAAGAAATCGGGGTGCCTCCTTCTTCATGGTGACTGTGTATTACAGGCAATGATTAGCATAGCAAGCATCACTCCCCATGCCTACCAGAAGATACATAGATCAAATGATCAAAGAGGCAGGAGTTCCAGAAGGCTGGCCACTGGGATGAAGTCAAGAACGAGAGCCACTGAAGGTCTGCCTCCTTTAAACCAGTTTTAATACGAGTTTACTGACTTAGCAATCAATTTGTACCATTTTCTTGAGCTATGAGATACCTTGTCTAGCCAAAATGTCCCTCATCAAAACTCAGTTTTACAAAACGGTGGATAATTAGCTGACTAATTGTTTGTTGATTCTGCAATTTGAGGAGTTTTTCCTAAAGAATAGAGTATAGGAATGAGGCTTCTATTTCCAATTCTAGAATATCCATTGTTAGCTATAAAGCTATCTTTTCTTGGTGTATTTTTTCCAGAAATCTAAATTTACATTTGATTAATAGGTATACATAGCCAATCTTTAATAGCTCAACAAAATTGACTGGGTTTAAAAGTTCTGTTTTAACATAATGTATTGGGAAGTTTAAAGGCCACTGTAGAGTAAATTAAAACAAAATGCCACAGGATAATTATTTCTCTGAGCAAGAACCAAGAGCTTAGATGGGTGAACAGTATAAATAACATAGAACAGCATATTTTTCAGTTGTCTGCCCTTTGTCATTCTACCATGGCCCTTGCAATTAAATAGTTGATAACCCAATAACAAGACAGATCAGTGTAAGTTTTGGGATGCAGCCAGTTATCTCCAATAAGACACAGGGCTGTAATGATTCTTTTTTAGTAAAGGACCTTATTAGATATATGTAAAGTTTGCTTGTGAGTGTGATGTCAATATGTGAGTGTGTGTTTTTGTGCATGCAGTTGTGTACTAATGCGTGCAGGTACACATGCCTATGTGTCTAAGTGCGTGAACATGCATGTGGGTGCATGTAGGCCAGAGGTTGGTATTGGCTGTCTTCTTCAATTGATTCTCCATCTTATCTTTGGAGACAGGGACTGAACTTGAAGCCTACTGACTGGGTGGACATACCAGGGCATCACCCATCTCAGTCCCCTGACCCACTAGTGCTTACCACCATGCCTGGCTTTTAGGTAAATGATGGTTCTCATGGTTCTACCACAGGTGGGCACTTTCCTGATTGAGCCATCTCCCTTGCTCCTAGATTTTTATTACCAGATGAAATAACTCATTCCCAACATATTGTGTCTGATCT